TATTTATTTACATTTATATTTTTGTATATGTTTATAAATATTAAACATTTATTTTTATATTATCACTTAAAAATGAATACCTTCCCAATGTCTTGATACCATTAACTCCTCTTTGGAGACATTGATATCTCAGTTTCTCAATAGGAGTTCTCACGTGGATAACCTTTTTCTCAGGATTAGAATCTAATTCGTATCTACCAGTTGTTGCCATCCTTTAATAATTCAATTTGCAATTTAAAGAAAAAGAAAAAAAGAAAAAAAATAGAAAATTAAAAATATTAATTAAATTTTGCAAATCTAAAACACAAAATAAATAATTTAGGGCACTAACTTAATTATTTCAAATTAGAGACATTTACTAAAATAAAAACAAACAAAATCTAGCAGATTAGTTACTGATAAGATATAAATATTTGAAGAACAGATTGTTTTTGCATGCGTTTCCTGTCCTTAATAAGATCATTCGAATTAATGCCATTTTGTTTTAATTGCAATTTTTAAGCAAATTATTATTGCTTTTATTATTTAAAAAAATTTTTTTAAGTTACAATATAATATTGTGATAAAATGTAAACATGTATGTAAAACTAGATAATTTCTAAATTAATTATTCATAATCAAATTCTGTGAAATTCCCTAAACAAAAACTTAAAAATGAATTTACTATTTGAATTAAACAATTCTTCTGCATTGCAGATGTTTGCTATAAAAAAAAAATTAATTAAATATTGCTATACATATTTACATTAACAAAAAATATAAGTAAGAATAATAAGTTTTTAATAGAACTAAATTTAAATATATTTTAATATTCGTATTTAAACACCCGTTTCGAAACATTTAAATTCGTTAAATGCCGAAACCGAACTAATTAATTAATTATATTTATAACGTATATCGTTATTTATAATAAATGAATATATTAAATATATGAAATACTTTTACGGTTTTCTTTCTGAAAATCTATTGAAATTAAGTTACATTTCAATTATCTTAATCTTTCAATTCGATTCAATTAGTTTTATTATCAATTCGATCAATCTAATATTTAGAGTTTATTGAACCGAAATGAACTAAATTGAATTTTGTAAAATTTTTGTCGACTTTACGGATCAGGAAACAATTATTTTTATATAAAATTTCTAATTATGATAAGTTTTGGTTCATTTTTCTGCAATTATTAAATTAAAAAGAAACTTAAATATGTTTTCAAATTACTTTTATAACTTGATTTAGAATATTGTGAAATTTAGTTTTATGTGTTAGATCCATGTATTCTGGTAATGAAATTACTTATTTATTGAATCAAAATAGTCATAAATTATTAATCATCTAATTAATGCAGCTCAGGAGAGTATCTGTTGTTATAATTATACTTAATATAAAATTCAAATTTCTAAATTAATTAAAATTCTTAAAGTTACTCAATCATTTTTAAACGAAAACAAATGTAATATTTTCAGGCGCGATATTAACTATAAAAAAAAATAAATTTAGAATTCATTAAATTATTTGGGTATATTTTTAATCATATTTAAACATAAAATAATTATTTAATTAACTAAATAATATTTAAATTGTTCACAATTTATTTATATGATTTGAGAGTACTTTATTGCGTGATTGTTCACGCAATGAAGTAATTTCGAGCACGAACCCACCTTAATTTCCGTTGATATTAACTAAAGGCGAAAACTTCGATCCTACCCTTTCCCTCGCGAAACCGCATTGCTTAGGGTGATAAACACGTGACACCCATCAGTAGGTGTATGAAGCCCTCTCGTGTCAATTTATTTTATAAAAATGGAGAAAAATAAATTATATTATATTTAAATTTTAAAATTATTATAATCTATTTCTAAAAACTGAAATAATAGACAAAATAATTAAAAAAATTTTTTTAAAATATATTTTAACTCTCTTCTCTAAACGCATTGAAAAGGTTGTTTTCATGCTTACTATGGATTCGGTCGAAATAAATGGCACAACCAGATGATTCGACGTTTATGGATTAGTCCATCTATGAAAATTTATGGCAATAACTAAATCACTACGCTTGCAAAGATAGAAATGGCTATTGACAATGTTGAATTAAGTCATTGCCTTAATTATACGATCTTCTACAAGAAGAAGAAGATAGCACTCTTAAATTCTTGATGTAATTCTTCTCAATAAATCATTTCGTTAATTAAAATAGTAACACAGATAACTCACAGCATTAACAAGATATACTGAAATGTTTAAACGATAATTTACATCTAGCATGACAGAATGATAAGTGAAAATAGCGAGGTTGCGGCCGACGTTTCCATATCTAAAACGTGAACGTCGAGCGCCGCTTACAAGATAACGGCGCTCGACGTTCACGTTTTAGATATGAAAACGTAGGCCGCAACCTGGCTAATACATTTCCATTAAAAGAATCTGAACTGACTCCGCATTTGTGTTTCTTTCTCTATATCTCTCTCATCTCTGTATCCAAAAGTGTTGTTGAATTCTGCCACACAAAGGCGTATGTCATAGCAGCCGTTAAGACACTGCTAATTGTTATTGTAAGTCTACAATTATTCATTTTTCAAACCAGTTCAAGTAGATATTTCGCAGAGTTTGGCTGTCATAATAGTCATAAAATTCTTTATAGTTTAAAGCTATATACGATACACACGAAAACATAATGCATCGAGATTGTCCATGTATATTTAACCGTTCCAATTACATTCATTTGCACGTGAAGAAAATTTAAGAAGAGAATGAGTAACCACCCAGACAGATAAATAACTTTGCTATCATTAGACACACAAGTCCATACAGAATAATTACTTGCGGATAGGATTTGCAATAGCTACATTTGTCTTAAGGATACAAGTGTTTTGTGACAGTTTATTAATTAAAATTTCACCTACTTTACTACTGGAAAAATAATTATGATTCAGCACTCCTATAATTAAACATTTCTCGGTAATCACAGGCTTTACTTTTAATAATATGAAAACATAATTCTACGATATTTGTGAATATTTTGGACTACTTTATGACAATTCGTGTTTAAACGATTTGTCATAAAGTATCTACTGATTATTATTTAGGCTTTTCAATTGTCTATTGAAACTTTTTACATGAGATATACACTGTTCTTATACTTTCTGAGGTTATTCTTATTGTATTGATAGAAATAACGCACAATAATGATAATCACAGTGTAAAAATCACGACGTTTCGCCCAGTATTACAAATTAAACTTATTGAATGAATAATTTTTTTAAGCATACCAGTGGTAGAAAGATACCTTTCAGCAGGTACCCTTCTCTTGGTAGATTGCTCGTGTGTTGTTTTGCCTTACTCCATCAATCTAATTCAATAAATATCCAAGTGTTTAAAAATTTAAAATTCAATTAGTGCATAAATTTATATCCTTTCTGATTTAGCCTAAATCCTGAGGCCAGAATATGGTTTTCTCCATTCGGATACACTGTATTTTTCTATGAACTTTTGCCAACTAAGTTTTATGGTATAATTAAATATGGTTTCTTTTTTCATCGATAAATTAATTAAGAAACTAAATTAAATATTTTTAACGTTCTTTTAAAGTATTAATTATTATTATTATATTTATGTATGTGCGTGTATATATACAGAAAGGCCTTTTAAAAATGTTTTTAGAGCATCCCTGAGAATATATAAACTGGTTAAGACTATTATTATATTGAGAAAATTAAATAAATTTATTTTAAAAAATAGAATTAAAACTCACCTTACTAAATAACAAAAAATGAAACCTTTTTTTTTGTAAGTTGTATAAAGAAATGAATTATTTGACACATTTTTATAGTTTTAAAGAATGAGGTTAAAGCTGTTCCAGTTGCTCAAGCAGAAAAATAGATCTTTTATAATAGAAAACTCAATTTTACAAATTATGTAATATTATTTAACAATACAAGTCGACCCCCCCCCTATAACACTGTTGATTATTCCGTTTTATATGAATTCCATGTTGTACGAGTCACTTAGATTTTAAAAATACGTGAGCCGGGTTGTGAATGGCTCACGTATTCGTAAAATCTAAGTGACTCGTACAACATGGAATTCATATAAAACGGAAAAATCAACAGTGTTATAGGAGGGGATCGACTGGTATAATTAAAAATCATTCTTTTGTATAATTAGACTTCTCGACAAAATTAAAAAAGAAAGAAAAGAAAAAAAAAAAAAACTATTCATTCATAAAATGAATACCGTTAAAATTAGGACATTTATAGGATTAAGTTTGAAATTTAATCTGCTATTAATTAAGAAATTAAATCCGCGTACAAAAAGATTAATTAATACGAATAACAACGATTTAACTTAATCTAATTAAGGAAAAAATAATTTTACGGCATTCTCTATTGGCTGTTGGACATCGGCTACTGAGAGTATATAAAAATAGTTCTATCGAATGTAAACACAGCGTGAAAGAAGTTTCAGATGAACCAGTCAAATGATTGATAAGGAAACTCAAAGTTTGCTCGTCAATTATTTTATTTTAATTGTTCTTCTTTTAATTCTTTGGATACTTTATATCGAGGTAAATTCTTTGCCTATATTAAATACTATATATACACGCGTAGAATGAAATTATGTAATATATACCGATTGTATTGTTTAATAGTATTATTTATTGATACAAACAAAATTTTCTATTATTTAAAAAAAAATTCAAGATGTAGTAAAGAAATGAGGATTAATATATATATATAGGAAATTTAAAAACTAAATACAATATGAAAGAAGATGAACAAACCATTTTTATGAAAGGGAGGAGTAAGAAGCGTCAGAAACGTAAATAGTTTTGGATATGAGCTTTAGTTTCAGTCGAAACGTAAAATGGATGCAGACAAGGAAGCGAAAAGTTTAATTGTGAATTATGTGGTATTGATTGTATTACTATTGGTACTATGGGTTCTTTATATGGGAGTGAGTATACTACCTTTCATTTCTACAGTCGGTTTTTTTTTTTTTATATTAGTATACCTAATATTGAGTTACAAATAAGATTGAGTTATTAATATTTAAGCTATAAATAAATTGAATAGCTTATTATTATCTTTTACACTGAATCCATTATTTGTAATTTTAAGTAATAAATCTCTACTGAAAAGTCTGGTGAGAAGGAAAAGAAACGGTGTCAATGTTCTATTACGTTTTCTAATATAGAAAATTGTAGGATTTTGTTGTAATATTAAACGTTCTGTATCAATATTTAAAAATATTTAACTTTATTTTATTCGTTTTATAACAATTTCTTAGAATAATTTACATACAGAACGGATGTTTCTCTTAAGTAATACACAGGAAGTCTATCTGGTTTCGTTGGATTTAGGTAACTTAATACGTTAGATTAGTATAAAAGAGCGTTTTACATAAAAGCACTTGTAAATTTTTAAGTATGACCATGAAAGTTGTTTAATTTTTACGTGTTTTTTTTTTCATTAATAAAAAATATATTGAATACGATATTCAACCGAAATAAATATTTAAATATGATATTGCTATTCTAAATATAATTTTACAATTAGAAAAGAGATAATAATTTATCCTAAACGGTAGAAAGAACACATCGTACAGAACTGGATACTGTTTGAAATAGTTCCAAAACTGATTTCGAACATTCTGTAAATATTTTGGCATTTTTTAAAAAATATAACTTAATACAAAAGAAAAATTAACTTCTATTTAATGGTTAATTTGGCCGAGAAAGAGATTGATGTTCACATCCTTTTCTTTTTTAAATTGATTAATCAAATTAAATAAGATTATGGGTCATAAAATGGTGTAAAGATGTTACACGTTCTTTTATAAGTTATATAATGTTACGTTGATTAATAAAATCAGTTGTAAAGTTATATAAATTTCTAAAATATCGATTTAGAAGAAAAAGAGAGAAAAAACTAAATTTAGAAGTAGGCATTCCTATATAAATAAAGCGAGGGTGTATGGCGCCGTTTCAAAAAATATTAACTAACCTCATTTCTGCCAGTGCTAAATTTAGATTCTATATAAATCAATATTATTTCAAATAATACTTTTTATCGCGTTAAACGAACTCTTTGATTCAAAAAATGAAGTGTTAGATGCTTGAAATAATATTAATCATTCATCTTACTGATTTTTATTACTTTTATGTCTCTTTTCTATGTCGAATAATGGATGTTTTTTTTTTACAGATGTAGAGATTGAAAACGGGACATAAATAAGGTAACTATATTAATTTTCATCAAGTAATTTATATAAAAATATTTTTTAAATATATAATACATTACGACAGTGGTGTGGCGTCAATTTTCTTGAGGGAGAAGATATAGAGAGCGAAGAAACATTAATAAGAGAATTTCCTCATGTATAGGTCGAGGGAAAGCTACAGAGGGTCAGGGAGGTGGCTGCCCCAGGTAAAAATGGGTCCGAGGGCCGGAGAAAATTTAGAGATTTAGTGAAACTTTTTAAAGTATACTGATTAAAGTATGCAGCCAAGTTACTTAGTAGAGTTAATAGCGAAGTTGCGGCCGAAGTTTTCATTTGTAAAACGTGAACGTCGAACGTCGAGCGCCGCTATCTTGTAAGCAGCGCTCGACGTTCGACGTTCACGTTTTAGAGATGAAAACTTCGGCCGCAACTTCGCTAATGTTATAATCTTGATTAAATTTACTACAAATCCGCGGATATGAATACATAATATTAATAAGAATATCAGATAAATAATCAGTACGTATTACAATATTTTCAGAATGAAGTTTTATATCTTCTATATCGTCAATGGCGCTACGCCACTGCATTACAGTATATATGTGAAAATACTACTGTATTGTATTATATTATAATTTCTAAACAATAATATATTTTTTAATATTAAATGCTTGAATTCCTAATACAGTCAACCGCCCCTATAACACTGTTGATAATTCCGTTTTATATGAATTCCATGTTGTAAGAGTCATTTAGATTTTACAGATACGCGAGCCGTTTACAGCCCGGCATACGTATTTGTAAAATCTAAGTGACTCGTACAATATGCAATTCATATAAAACGGAATAATCAACAGTGTTATAGGGGGTCGACTGTATGTAGCAAATTTTTCTTATTATTATATATATACGTATAAATGAAAATTATCAATATAGGACAATTCGAGTAAATTGTCAATGGTATTTTAATTGTATTTTCCTCTTTTTTCCATTGTTAGATCCTTTTTCAGTTGAGATTTGTTTTAAAAATGAATCCATTGAAAGAAATCTGAAGTACTTCACTATTCAATAAAGAATTTTATTGAAAAATTAGAGAAATTGAATTTTAAAACAATCGTAAAAAGCAGCAGAATTCGTTACAGAATAATATTTTTAAAAAACACAGATTATACAATATATTATTAATTTGTAAGACAGGAAATTTTATCGGAAATTTAAGATATAGAAATATGTCGTTAACTGACGGGTGGATGACATTTCGCCAGCTGCATATGACATGACAAAATAGAGAAAAACAACTCATTTGACGAATGATGGTTCTATTTTAAAATTGCAAGGACTGTGATTATACATTGCCAAGATGTATTAAGTTTGGAAAGATGAAATGCCTCTGTTTTTAGATGACACACTTTCCGTTATTCTTAATTATGAATTTTTATAATAAAAGATAATTTAAACGAAGAAATATAAAGATCTTTAATTAATTTAACTTCACATTTATTGAATGCAATTCTTATATTGTAATTTTCAAGGTTTTTAATATAATCTATTGTTCCTATGTTTGCTTTAATAAAGTACTTCATAGAGTTGCCAACCGTCAGTGTTTAACACTTGCCTACAGTGTTTTCATACCGGTTATTAGAGATAAGGTTATTCGACTGTAATAGCCCTAATGCTGTAGTTTCCAAATATGCCCATCAGAGTTCTGGGATTGTCTGGAATTAAATCTAGTGTAAAAAGCGCTAAGTTGGCAACGCAAACTGCACTGCTTTCACTACATTTTATTTGAAACGGTGTATATCATTGGTTACTTATCCAGTTGTGATAAAACCGCTTTACCGGGCAACGTGCCTAATAAAAACGTTAGCACAAGAGTCAGAACAAAAGAACATTGCAAACAGACACTCTTGGAGAGGAAAAAAAATACAGCTCAGAATTTTGAGGACAGCCCGGCTCTCAGCTGGAGTCTAGCAGCGCATATTCGTTCCAGTCCATATACCGAACTTTTTGAAATTGGAGGTTTGTTTGTTTTGTTAAGCTACGGCAACGAAACACTTGTGCGATCTACCTAGGAGGGATACCTTCCGAGAGGTCTTTTTAAGGGTAAATGGATCCTATTCAGGCGTTACAGACGTGGAGAAAACCCGGAAAACACCACATGGATAGCTCCACTTCAAAACGAATCTTGTGTACCTGTTATTATTACAGATGCAATTTAATTTCAAAAATGAGCTTTGCTGCAACATATCCAGCTCGGCTCTCAGCTCCCATCCAAATTCACAGTTTAGCTCGCAGCTCTAAGATCTCCGCTCAGCTTGGTATTTCCGAATAGCTAAACTGAGCTTTGCAACTCTACACGCGATTAAGGAATTATATCCATTGATAATTTAAAGGCATACTACCAGTGGCGGTTCTACATTTTCTTTTTATCCTAAAGCTTAAATTGTTACATTCGCAACCAGCAACAATAGGGCTATATCCACAAGATACAAAAGGCCCTGCTATTCTTGCAAAAACTTCGAGGCCCAAATGGCGGAGAACAGAGTGGTACGGTGAAGTCCTTGAAAATGAACCATACAGTGAGCCGCTTCCCATCAGCAATGAGAGCTGGGTAATCTCTGCTATCTTCTTCAATTGGAATTTTTAATAATTAATCTTATTTTAATAACAAATACTTAAAAAAACTACTGATTTTGTTGAAAAATTCACTCATGAAAAAAGAGTTGCTTCGGGATCCTCCGGGATTAAGGAACCCTAAAGTTTAAGCTTCATTACTTTCATAATAGATCAATCCGCCATTGCATACAATACAAGTGAAATGTATGCAAGAATTTTAGAACTAAATAATAGTCAAAGAGAAACTGATATGACTTCTATTGCTAAAAGGAATTTCCCTACTTGACTGCATTTTTTGGCAATGTTGTAGGATCAAGTGTCTGAGAAAACCATTGGAAATTGTTTTTAAAAGGATGATGTTTTAAAAATAGGCACCGAGACATCTGAAAATAAAGTTGTGTCGAAAAGGAAATCATAAATAACACGCCAGAAGATACATCAAAAGAAAACTTTAAAACTAGTTCAATTTTATCAATTCTCCGGGCTTTCTTTCTGATGATGTCATCAGAAATATTCCAAATTATTAGTGAAAAAGCCAAGGAATTATCTAGTAAAATTGGAAAAAAAAATCAACACGAAGATATGATAGATCCAATAAATGCTCAGATGCAATAAACTCCGCAAATACTTCATCATGGCGTAAGTACAGATGAGTTGAGATTCGAAAACACTACGAATACCAGCGTTTTATTAATAAAATATTGCTAAAAATAGCCGACAAATAACGCTGGAAGAACTAGCATTCAAGTAATTATTTTTATTATTGTAATCATTAATAATTAACTTTTAAGTTTATTATTAAGTTTATCTTTAAAAGTTACAAGCTAATCCCGAAATGATTACAATAAGCAGCATCTACTGCAGCCACATAAAGATTTGTGGTGTATAACAATTATTTTTAACAATTTTGCTGTTGTAAATAGGAAACTTAGGATGTTGCTATTAGCAGCTCTTATATTAATAAATGTTACTTAAATAACATGTATATTGTTGAAAGACAGATTGGAGATAAACCAACTCAAAGCTAATGAGAGCTTGAAAAACATGAAAAAATCCAGATATGGCAGTTGTGATGAAAACGTAGCTTTTATTATCCTTAATGTATTTTCTTAGATATTTTGGTTTATATTTCAAGGCTATTTCATTCTGATGAAATAACTTAGAAAACTATATTTAAACAGTGTATTATGGATTATATCAAGTAAATCGTTATTGTTACACCATTTAACACTTTTAGTAATTTATTATATTGATGCTAACGCTTAAAAAATATACTATTTTATAAAGAATTACACGGACTTGTTGATATAACATTGATAAATATGAAAAGTCATGCCTTATTATAGTAAAATAAACAGATTATTTATACGAGTTTTTAATTAGAAGATATGTCTGCTATTTATACGTTTTACGTATTGTTATGTACAGTACAGTATATGTATACTTTTATACCAGTCCTATTACTATACTATAATATGAAATACTATAAACTGTATCTGAGTTGTATTTATACTATGCAGACCATCTTCGAATGTTGTGTAATTCAGTTAAATGTTTTTACAATAATTTCTATTTTGTATTCTCTAAATGATATACTTTCTTTTACAGGAAAAAAACATATCAAGTTCATTTGAATTCAGATGAAAATATGGAACAATTTACACCCAGTGCTTTATTCATCAATAATTTAAGTGTTTCATATGTTCGTTAATGAAATATTTATGTATATCTATCATGACACATTTTTTAAAATTTGAATCTGGATAATATTGTAGTCATTTCTCTAATTTTAAATGTCAAAATAGCTTCTTTCAGAAAAAAAAACATTTATAAATTTTTTATGTTTAAAACTCTTTTGTATTAAATAAATTCTAATAAGAATGATCAAATAAATAATAAAAATTACAATTTTTGTATTTATGAAATGATTATGAAGGATTTCTTAAATGCGATCATAAGTATAATGTTAACTGATCATATACCTATTAAATAAAACATGTGGCAGTACATTAATTGAAAGGTACAGTTGTAAAAAATGGTTAGTGCCATTTCCATTAGTACGTTAAAATGCGTGCTAACAGCTAAGCAGTGATGTGTGTATTTAAATTTAAAATGTACTTTTTAACTATAACGTAATTATATTCTGATTAAAGTAAAAACAAAAAACTTCTTAAGACGTCTAATTTTTTCCATTTTCTCTATACTTTCAACATAACGCTTACCATCTTTTACCTCAGAACCTTTCAATTACATGTGAAATTTAAGGGAAGGAATTGTGAAAAGTATAACATTGTACACGATGGAAAGGAGGTTGATACATTGTCTACATTGGTATTTTTTAGTAGTATTAGTAGCGTATGAACTTCTTATAAAGTCTTTGTTTATTGATGTAAAGAATGTTGCTCAATGTGTACCCCATTGTTTAGGTGTAAAATCTGAAGCTGCGGTCTGCTGTTCAGGCGATGAACAGTGTGTTCATTGCCCAAACAGCTGACAGCTGCTGCTTTCCACGATGCTTCGCCACGTGCAGTGTAATACGATCCGTTAAGTCTGCCAAAGTTGCAACATTTCCATTATAAACCATATTCTTTAAATAGTCCCAAAACCAGAAATCACTCGGATTAAGATAGTCATTTTTTTCACTGGCTGTTTAAAATAACAGATTAGGATATCACTCAGGTTAATCTTTGTTACTTACTATATTTTGTTTTGTGTATTTCCCTGCAAAGAGTTTCCTAACAATGGAAATCTTTGAACTAAATATTTTGCAAAATCTTTTTCCGCATCCTTTGCATAATTTGTATACAAATTTTGGTGTCAAATCGCGCATTGACTAAAGTTACAGAATATTCTGATTAGGAAACTTCAATTGTAACTTAGCTATTCTGTACATCGTTGTACACGACAGGGAGGGAAAAGGGTCAAAAGTGGCTCAAGAACTGTCACTCTGTATACATTATATTATTCATTATTGTGTATGATGAATAACGCTATGATTTTGTACAGGAACATACTGGTGTATGATGATATAACTGTTATACAAGTTGTCCTGTCAAGACCGTATAAACTCTACAAAGCAAGAATCCACGCTCGGAGTATATAAAAAATGACCCAAGAACCATACCTCTACAACCAGTGGCAGGGTGTCAGCTTGCCCAGTGGCAATCGGACCCCCTTAAACATTAGACAATATGTTAAAAATATAATAATTCCAATATTATTACTATATGCAACTAAAATTTCCATTGTATTACTATTTTAATAAAATCATTTTTCGAGGATACATCATATTTAAGAATGTAATAAATAACTCTAAAAAATATAATTCTGATTCAGGTTATGTTAGACCGATGCATACGTTATATAGGCTCGCATCTTTACTATTGCAACTGCTCAACAAAGATTAATGGGAAATTTCAGCTTGGGATGGTGACGTGCAGACGTATGTATGGAGCTGTGCACACATTTCAAAGACAGCAAATATTTTTTATTGAGTCGGGCTCAGTTTGAGTGTAATTCGTCAGCTTTTCACCTCGTGCTAGCTGTGTTATAGGAGTGTTTTCATTAATATTTTTATATACTGTTACCCTACCCCCTTTATAATTTAAATATAAAGGATTATAAATTGCTAAAAGGAATTTCCCTACTTGACTGCATTTTTTGGCAATGTTGTAGGATCAAGTGTCTGAGAAAACCATTGGAAATTGTTTTTAAAAGGATGATGTTTTAAAAATAGGCACCGAGACATCTGAAAATAAAGTTGTGTCGAAAAGGAAATCATAAATAACACGCCAGAAGANCTGTTACCCTACCCCCTTTATAATTTAAATATAAAGGATTATAAACATTACAAAGATGTTAGGAAAAGAAGCACTTACTTTTCGAGATCACAGAAATGAATCCGCTTACTCTCTAGATCAGTGGTTCCCAATTACTTTTTCCTGCGTACCACTTCAAGAAAGAGCTCAAACTCGCGTACCCCTTATAGCAGAAATTCATATTAATCCATACTAATGTTATAAATTCGAAGGTAATTCTGGCTGTCTGTCTGTTACCTTTTCACGTCTAAACCGCCGAACAGGTTTTAATAAAATATGGTACGGAGATAGGTTACACGTTGGATATGGACATAGGCTACATTTTACTGCGAGAAAATACCTTACTCCCACGAGAAAATTCGATATAATGCGGGCGAAGCCGTGGATAGACAGCTAGTGATAAATAAAATAAGTTTTTTTTTTACATTTATTACCTTTAAAATACAATTCTAATAATAATGAAAATAACATGAGGTTATTTAATTTTAATACGGACAAAGGTGCACGATTTTCTTTGCGCAACTTTGTAAAATCTGGTTGCTTTTTGGTCAGCTTCAGTCTCAAGTCATCTTCGAGTAGCAGTCGGTGACGATTCATGTTTGTCACGGCCGAAAATCCGCTCTCGCAGAAGTATGTTGTGCAAAATGGTAGTAAATATTTTACTGCCGCTTCACAATAATAATGATAATTGTACAATTAACACAAATTGTGTTAATTGTACAATTTTTGTTTCTTGCGTAAGAATTTTATTTAGGTATCGTCACAATGCATTTTTTTGATGAAATTTCGAGAATATTTTTAGTTATAAATAAACAAATTTGCTCATTCGACATCGTGTTGTAAATTGCCGAATTTTTGATGATCCACCTATTACACAGGTCTGCAAGTAAAAAACTGCATAGAATTTTTATACGTTTTCTTGCAGATTTCAACTTGGTAGAAACGAAAATAATACCAAAAAAATTCCATCTCGTCAATTTTTTTGTTACACTCAAGTTTTTGTTTGTATTTAGCATAAAATTCCTAGTTAACTTAAAATTTACTATTCTTATTTTTATTTAAAAAATAGCCTTAAAACGAAGACTTCTCACATTAATTCTATCAATTATAGCTGGACTTGGTAATAAATAAATAAAAATGTTAATGGTTGAAGAGAGTAGTGGTAGGGGAGGTGGGTTAAGTAGTTTTAGCGTTAGGAGGAAGGTTTCATGATCGTATAGAAACGGGTTAAAAGTTGATAGGGAGTAATATTATTGGTGAGGTTGAGCATGTTTCAACATGTTATCTGGGATACTAGGAATAAATATAAACAACCTGCTGTTGGATTAGATCGTGTTTCAACAAGCTAAATAAGTTCAGTATCTCGCTGGCCATCTAATGCCTGCCACACTCAGTTTATATCCAACATTCGAAGGCTACTGCGCTTGTATTTTTATTTCTGGAATATGGCTCGCAGAGGTTGCGTAATTTTTCCCGACAGCTTCTGTTATGTTTGTGGTGAATACACAGTGAAAAGTCAACAAAGAAACATAAGTGAGTTAGTGAAGAAAGTTTAATTTGCATATTTCAAATTGAAACTTGAGACTTTGAGATTGAGACAAAGCAGATTTCTGGAAACAATAGGAGAAAAGGAAAAAGAAGCATGGGACTCTTTCAAGAATGTAGTACATAAGTTTTTGGAGAATACTAACGACCCTGACTACAAAACCATTGTACAACGCATGCTGGCAGCAGCGTATGAAGCTCGAGGATGTGAGATAAGCTTAAAAATTCATTTCTTACACTCCCATATTGACTATTTTCCCGAAAACTTGGGAGCATACAATGAAGAACAGGGTGAAAGATTTCACCAGGATGTCCGTGATATCGAGAGACATGAAAACGAAAATGGGATGTCAATATGTTAGCTGACTACTGTTGGATGCTCAATCGAGAAACCAGAGAAAGAAATCGGAAACGAGTTTGAAGAAGCATCAAAAAGAAGAAGTAAAGGTTTCATAAGAAAAAGAGTAGACCTAAAATTGTGTATAAATATCAGAAACAATTTGTTGATTAGTTGTAAGAAAATATTTATTACAATGAAATAAATATATTATAAGAGTTTTTATCAAAAATTTGTTTTTATTTTGCAAAAAACCTTTACGTGATGGGATGTAACGGAAGTTATTTTTAGAATCTGTGATCTTTAAAACATATAATTCAGCAAAAATATTCCATGCAGCTGGAAAAAAATTTTTTTGCAGACCTGTTATTTTTTTGATTGCTTCATCTCATGCATTTAAATTTTAAATCGACCGATTTTAGATTGCCGCGCGTACCCCCTCACGCAATTTCGCGTACCCCCAGGGGTACGCGTACCACTAATTGGGAACCACTGCTCTAGATAATGAGATTCTGATTCATGGCAATTTTTTAGCTACAGTATAGTTGATGGCCTAATATTACCCTATTATGGCAGCTCACGTTACTGCAGTACAAAACAAGTTTACACAAAGAATCAAACAATTAGAACAACAAAGAAAGGATGAAAGTAAAGGCTGTGGTAGATTTATTACATACCTGGCAACTATTAACACATTAATCCAAATTATGAAGAATATGATACAAGGAAAAAAATTTCATGACGTTTCTTAAGCAAAACATTATTCTATTCAACTTGATTCAAGAAAAGATAATTTAACCATCAGTCAGTTTTGCATTATTATATGGTATGTGCTTAAAAGTGTTATTTGTAAGCGACTACTATCAGTTGTGACAAGTAATGTTGGTATAGGGCTTTTTGATCTATTGGCTGAAACATTACGCAGGGATGGAGAACTTTACAGTTTGCACGCCATATTGTAAGCATACTTAGCTTTAAAGATGTTTGTGTGTGCCAAAGTTTTAGACTTTGAATAATGACACTTAAAAAAAATTAAAGGAATATGCTTTAATNAGATGTAATATAATATTAAAATAGATGTTTTGTTTCTTCATCTGACACTGAAGATGTTCATAGAGAAAAAACTGTTGGATCTAGAAAGCTCAAATTTTAAACTTAAACCTTTCCCATTATCAGTGAAGTGTCAGCAAAACTTCTGGGTAGATAGGTTAAAGTTTGCAGGTGTTTCCCATAAAACAATTTCAGTTTTATGGCTTAATTTTATGCTTAAAAAAATAAAATTCCATCAAAACAAATGAATTTCATTCAAAATGTTATCCAAAATAACAAAAGCTCAAATTTATGTGAATTAAAACCTTTTATCACAACTTTTTCTAAACAGCGTATCAAAAGAATTGGTCAGCAGCACATTGGGTAGCGGTGCATTTAGTCAGTGCCAACTGAAATGAATATTGAAAGCATTCAGTCACCAAACATTGGCTGAATTATACTTCATCATCTTATGTCTTGATGTAATAATACAATTATTAAACAAAGAACAATTGATATCCAAACAAAAACATCTGAGATGTAAAAAAATTGCACCAAGTAAAAACTTATAACATTTTAGACAACAGTCAAAATTTTTATTAACAGTTTTTCTTTGGTAAAGACAAGCTTAGTGCTTTGAAACAGTAACCCACAAGATTTTTACCTGCATTATTCTTTTCTACATTTTCCTTCAAAGTGCCAAGCTTATCTTTACCAAATAAAAACTCCTAAGAAAAATGTTGACTGTTGTCTAAATTGTCATAAGTTTTTACTTCAATTTTTTTACATCTCAGATGTTTTTGTTTGGATTTACATTTTTACTTTGATTAGATGAAAATTTTATAATTAATAATAAATATCTTTAATTCCTCAGCATTCTGAACTAGTACTTTTAATCCTTTTGAAGGATCATTTTCAGGTTCAATATACAATGTAATTTATACAAATAATTTCTGTTTATGAACATTTATGAAGGTAAAGTTTTTAAAAGTTTTCACTATCTTTGAGAGACTCATAACAAAAATTTAAATGTAAAATTGAATACTTTAAAAATTCACATAATTATTAAATAATGAAATTGTACAAAAATAAATTGACAGTTAGTAATGATAGTAAAAAAATATGACATTTAATATCATTATTTTGTTCATATAATTTTACTTTATAAATACAGTAATACCCCGACTTACGCGAATCCGGAGTTACGCGATTTTCAAATCTCGTCGATTCGTCTTTTGTTTGAGCGCCACGCAACTCTTAATTACTCATTTCCCCCCACACTATTGTTCGGCTTACATGTTCGGACGTATTCGACATATAGCTACAATTTATTTTGTGTTATTTGTATGTATTTATATGCAAAATTATACCCCGACTTACGCGAATTTGACTTACGCGGTTATCGCTCGGTCCCACCTATCGCGTAAGTTCGGGGTATTACTGTATTNTTAAAATAAAAGTTTGATTTACATTGGCACTTTGTTGTTAGTTAGTGCAAACAATGGACGTTATGAGATATTTAACAATAGTTGATCAGAATTCCTGCAATTGCTAATGCTAGGCATTTCCTAAAAATACATAAAAATTCAGGAGTATTTCAATTTTCTTCTGATCTTAACCTTTCAACAGTGGAATAGTCAGGTATGGTGCTACCCCTTAGTAGTGGAGAATAAATGTGCAACATTTTTAGAGTATTTTTCCACGTGTTTTTTCATGTTACTGTTTTGGAAAAATATTTTGTAAACAGTTATGTTTAGTAAAGTCTTTTTTTTATTGTTACATAATTCATTTTTTATGTGAATTTTTTTTCCTGGTAGTGTTTGGTGATACCCCCAAAAGAATTTGACATATACGTTCCTCACCACTGCCACACAATCGCCCTTGCTGAATATATTCATCACTCACTGATGAGTGGTTAAAGATTCAAAATGCATGGTGTTACTCTAAAATTTTAGAACAGTCAAAATTTAACAGTTTTTCTTTGGTAAAGATAAGCTTAGTGCTTTGAAACAATAACCCACAAGATTTTTACCTGCATTATTCTTTTCTACATTTTCCTTCAAAATGCCAAACTTACCTTTACCAAAGAAAACTCCTAAGAAAAATGTTAACTGTTGTCTAAATTGTCATAAGTTTTTACTTAGAGCAATTTTTTTTACATGTCAGATGTTTTTGTTTGGATTTATATTTTTACTTTGATTAGATGAAAATTTATAATTAATAATAAATATCTTTAATTCCTCAGCATTCTGAACTAGTATTTTTAATCCTTTGAAGGATTGTTTTCAGGTTCAATATACAATGTAATTTATACAAATAATTTCTGTTTATGAACATTTATGAAGGTAAAGTTTTTAAAAGTTTTCACTATCTTTGAGAGACTCATAACAAAAATTTAAATGTAAAATTGAATACTTTAAAAATTCACATAATTATTAAATAATGAAATTGTACAAAAATAAATTGACAGTTAGTAATGATAGTAAAAAAATATGACATTTAATATCATTATTTTGTTCATATAATTTTACTTTATAAATACAGTAATACCCCGACTTACGCGAATCCGGAGTTACGCGATTTTCAAATCTCGTCGATTCGTCTTTTGTTTGAGCGCCACGCAACTCTTAATTACTCATTTCCCCCCACACTATTGTTCGGCTTACATGTTCGGACGTATTCGACATATAGCTACAATTTATTTTGTGTTATTTGTATGTATTTATATGCAAAATTATACCCCGACTTACGCGAATTTGACTTACGCGGTTATCGCTCGGTCCCACCTATCGCGTAAGTCTGGGGTATGACTGTATACTTCAAAAAGAAAACCTGTTAATTCTAATGCAAAGACAGAAACATCACAAATTAACATACAATCATTGTATAGTAATAAATTTGGTAACTCAAACTGTTGTAATATAAATTGCTAAATCCAAGAATTTTTTAAAATTGATAGTGTAACAATTTGATAATGATTGCTATAACTTAACAATTAAATGACAGATCCATGCAAAGTGCTCAATATGAGCATTTGCAAGAACATTAGGAAATTTTAAATTTAAATAAAAAGTGTTTTAGAATTTAATAATAATATCTTATATAGAATTGTAACAGATCAAGCAATAGTTATAAACAATACTTAAAAGGATACTAGGATTTCTTTTATCTTCATTAATTACAATAATATCTGTAAATTCTTTTTTTATTGCCATTTTTATAAGATTTTTTATACTAAATTTACGTCTCCAATGTAAATGTGCATTAGGTATAGTTTGTCTTAATTCTCTAGCAAACAATAATGTTTTCTGAAAAATGCAATTTATACTATAAAATAAATTCATAACTCAACAATTTATATAAAAATTTATGTACATTTATGTAAACTATACCATATTAACTTACGGTATGTGGTTTTTCAGCTGTTGTTATCAAAATTTTCGGTACAACATCTCTATTACTTTCCAATGAATTATGGGTAATTGGTGTGACACTTGAATGACATCCACCTTGCTGAGAATGGAATTATGGGAACTAAGCACTTCGTACTCAAAGTTGGAACGTNAACTATTTATATAAAAATTTATCTACATTTATGTAAACTATACCATATTAACTTACGGTATGTGGTTTTTCAGCTGTTGTTATCAAAATTTTCGGTACAACGTCTCTATTGAAATAATTGGACATTTCATCTGTATCTAAGTCATATTGAATCTAATAAGAAATAAGTTAAAATAATAAATATCAACTTTTCAATATAATTTCTATTCTTTTGAAATATAATACAGTAGAGCGTCGTTTATCCGAATCAATTGGGGACTGAGGTGGTTCGGATAACTTATTTTTCGGATAATGAATCATGTATGAAAAAATATATTAATTGATCCCATGTTGAAATTTTCTCCGTTGCATGTCGCTTCGTGTTGAATTTTCGTCGATGTTAAGCCTAACGAAGACTATTGTATCGTTAAAAATTATTTTTTTATTTTGTACAAACAAAATAAATATATTGAAAAATATAAAAACAATAAAAAATTATACTTCAGATGTTAATTTAGTATCAAAAACGTAAAATATTTGAGT